GCCTGCAACCACTTGTTGGAATAGCCCACTGGATAACACAAAACTGACATATATGCCATTAATATAACAGAATAATATTCACTTATTCTCAACAAATTACCTGAGTGCCTACTATGTTCCAGGCACTGTTCTCATTGCTGGAGGTACAGCAGTAAAAATATCAAGACAAAAGACAAGGTCTCTGCTCCCATGGAGCTCATATTCCAGTGGAGAAAGACAACAAATGAACAAGCAGTAAAAACACGAACTCATACAAATCATCACACAGAGAACAGGACCATGTGAATGGGTGATGTGACTGGTTGGGGAAGAGTCTCTGAGAATGGGGCATTTAAGCTGAGATTCCAATGTCAAGAAGGTACAGTGAGAAGGAAGCGTGCAAAAGCCTTAGGTGGGAACAAGCTTGGCCAAGGTGCCTGCAGAACAATGCACAGGGGCAGGTGTGGTTTGAGATCCGAAATCAGAAAGGTAGGTGCGAGCCAGATAATAATGTAGAAAGATCACTCTAACTGTGTTTGGAAATTAATTCAAGTGGCAAGAATGGAGGCAAGGGAACCAGTTAGGAGGTTACTATAGTAGTGAGAGATGGTGGTGGCTGGACAGGTTAACAGTGAAGATGGAGAGAGATGGATGGTTTTGAGATATGTTTAGGAGACAGACTGACTAGGATTTGCTAATGGATTGGCTGGGAATGGTGAAGGAAACTGTTATATCTTTAATTTGATCACAACACTAAACTTTGTTAATGTATAACATGAGTCTTCTATGGCTCACAGGGAACTAACCAGCTCACAACTTAAAAAAGAAATTAGGGCCAACCCCGTGGGTTAGAGGTTGAGAGTGCACGCTCCACTACTGGTGGCCCGGGTTCGGATCCTGGGTGCGCACCGACGCACCGCTTCTCCAGCCATGCTGAGGCCGCGTCCCACATACAGCAACTAGAAGGATGTGCAACTATGACATACAACTATCTACTGGGGCTTTGGGGTAAAAAAAAAGGAGGAGGATTGGCAATAGATGTTAGCTCAGAGCCGGTCTTCCTCAGCAAAAAGAGGAGGATTAGCATGGATGTTAGCTCAGGGCTGATCTTCCTCACACAAAAAAAAAAAGATAATTAAGTCTTTGGACTTTTTAGTCTTTTCATAATTTTTCACAATGGGCCTTTAATAGCTTTCATAATCAGAAAAAACCCTGTTATTAAAAAATATATTGCAAAATGACTATTAACATCTTGGATCCATACTGCTTCTTGGTTTTAAGAACTCAATGGATGTTCACATTTATTATCTTAGCCTTTCAAATTCTCACTTGAACAAGAAACTAGTTAAATTTGCTGCCAACTTAGAGATACTTCCAAATGAATGGAAGCTAAATTTCAAGATGAAATTCAGAGAAATTAAGTTTCTCTGTCCCCAACCTACTCCGTTGGAATTTGCAGAACAACTCCAGTTGATTGTCTTCATGTATGGAATTCATTGCAGGAATTTAATCTTTGATTATCTCTGGTTTTAGGAAAACAGAAAGCTTCAATGAGTGCAAAACATAGCAAGGTTTGCTCATCTAGTGGAAATTTAAGGAGGTAGCTTATAACCACATCCTTACTGTTCATTGGTTAAAAAGCTCCTTATTAGTAAAAGGTAAAAAACTGTTTGTGGCTGCCCAGCCTTTTGTAGTTCACACATTTGGAAAATGCTAATAAGTAACTGGGTTTAGGAGGGATGTGTCTCCTAAGAGGCTCCTGGAGGATAACACTGCGAAGTAGACGATTTTCTCAGATGGCACGATCACAGAAAATTCCTTCAGGCTGCTTTGAACAGTGACAACAAAGATCCACTATCCACTATCCACTTCAGGTTAATAGTGAGGATGGAGAGAAACGGATGGATTTGAGATATGTTTTGGAGACAGACTGATTAGAGAGCTGATACCAATATGGCTGGGAAAAATATATAACCTGTCTTTGGATTTTTTTTTATTTATTTAAAATTTTTTTTTTATTGAAGCATAATTGACATACAATATCCTATTAGTTTCAGGTGTATGTCATAGTGATTCAATATTTATATATATTATGGAATTATCACTACGATAAGTCTAGTTACCATCTGTCACCATACAAAGTTATCATAATATTATTACCTATATTCCTTATGCTGTACATTAAATCCCCATGACTTATTTTAGAACTAGAAGCTTGTATTGATACACTCTTAAAGCTTTGAAAGCAAAGATATTTTAGCTCTCTGAAGTACTGGGACTTACAAAAATCCCACAAAGAGAAAAATCTATTTTCCTTCCATAATTTTACATGTTCAAATGTTGAAAAGTTACCTCAAATTTCCTCCTTCAGATCAAGAAAGATGCATCATGTTATACTGTAAGGTTAAAAAAGCAAGAAGCAGAAAAATATGCATAATATGAGCCCACATGTGTAAAAAAAGAGTATGTATATTCATATTGTATAGAAAATATATGGAAGGATACACATGAAACTAAATAGTCAATACTTTCTCTACTATGTCTTTTATTTATTTTAATAGTGCACACTTTTTTTACTAAAAATTTTTTTTGAGAAAGAAGTATCACATTTTAGGATAGTGAATTTGACAATATTCTTATAATCAAAGAAAAACACAAAAAACTTATTTAAAATCTTCTTACTCTTTTCTGTATCTGTTATGAAGAAATGCTCTTACATTTGTTCCTAAAGAAATATATCAAATCAGAATATAAGTGTGGCTACATCATTATTTCACTAAAGTAACATATGCCCAAAAAAGAAAAAGCAATGGGTCAAATTAAAATCGGCTTAGAGCTGTAAAATAAAAGCCAGTAATAAAAGGATGAGAAAATTATAATAATAAGAAAAATCAACTAACTTGCCAACCAAGGAACAGTATTAAGTGCAAAAGGTGATTTAGAATCATATACTTATAACTTGAGATTCAATTCAAAGAAGTACTTACCTATCTAAAGAACTATACATAAATTTTAAAGTTCGGGCAACATCTTCTATCATGTTCCTTAGCTGAGGAAGAGGAACTCTAAAAAAGGAAAAAATATATCTGTTCATTTACAACATAAATGATACATATCTAAAAGAAGCTGAATATCTTTACATTTTATATGTAAGGAATGTGAAAAGTATGTGTGTCAACTGCAAGTACAGCTGTGTAAAACGGTTATTTACTGCATTAGCAATGGAAGACTCTGATGTCCAGATCTGGGGTTCTAGCATGGGTCAAGTAGGGACTTTTTTTTTTTTAAGAGGAAGATTGGCCCTGAGCTAACATCTGTTGCCAATCTTCCTGCTTTTTTCTCCCCAAAGCCCCAGTAGATAGTTGTATGTCATAGTCGTACATCCTTCTAGTTGGTCTATGTGGGACACCGCCTCAGCGTGGCTTGATGAGCTGTGTGTAGGTCCATGCCCAGGATCCAAACCAGCAAACTGTGGGCCGCCGAAATGGAACGTGCGAACTTAACTGCTATGCCACCAGGCCGGCCCCCAAGTAGTGACTTTTTATATCATCATCTATATGCAAATTATTTAACCCTCTTTAGGGTTTAGTTTCCTCATGTGTAAAATGGGGACAATAATCACTAAGCCCTTCTCCAGTTCATTTTGAGGATTAAATAAAATTAACGCATATAAAGCAGTTAGTGTAGTATCTGGGCCCATAGAAAGAAATGCTAAATTCTTGACACTTTCCAGTATAACCCACAACTGAATCTCCAACTCCTGTGACAAAAAGACATGCCTGAATGAAACGGAGAAAGGAAAGAAAGTAGGAGAAAGGAAAGAAAGAAATGGACTTAACATTTTCTCACTGAAGCCTTATAAGAATTCTACAAGGTAGGTCTTAGTATTCTTATTATACCAATGAGTAAACGGAGGTCCAAGAAATTAAGTAACTTGTGCAAGAACACAAAGCAAGTAGAACCTGCTCATGGGCAGCCATCTTCTTAGCTCCAAAGTTACTCTCTCCACTACCTCACATTGTCTTCCTGGTTAGGTGCCCACTAATCACATCACAGGAAGATGATCCCCTCTCTGAAAACACATGTGCCTGGATTACGTGCCCCACCCTATCTTCTGGGGCTGCACTTTTTGAATCCCTTGTAAAAGGCATAATGCTATAGAGGGAAATGTACAGCCTGTGGCATTAAGACAGACGAGGGAAAAATCCCAAGGCTGCCAGTTGAATTACAAACCACACGCACGATGTTAGAGATACAAAGACATAGGAATTGACACTAAGGAGGTGCTTGTGCAAGATCTCTCAACCTAACACTATTTCCTAGTTCAAAAAAATAAGAATAATAACTTACCTTTCACAGTTACATGAAACAATACGGAATAAGGAAAAGAATCTGGTACTGAGTGGTTGGTATCAGCATTAAGAGAGCTGGATAAAGAGGTCACTAGGGCGTATTTTTGAGTTGAAGCTCAGGATAGAGAATAAAGGGGCTCTTCCAAGTTCTCCAGGATAGGAATGACATAAACATTTAGGGAAGACCACTCTAAATTTTATCCACCCCCCCCAATAATAAAGATTGAGAAATTGGCTAGAACATCCCCTATGTGGTACAATTTTGGGCCAGAGCTCAGCAGCGACAGGTCTTTTGTGGCTTCAAACCTCTTCCTGGAACCTCTACCTGCCTAACTAAATTGGCTGGTGGCATCGGAATGTGGTTGAGCAGCCTCTGCTCAGGTCCTTAGCTGGGGCTTCCTCTCCCCCCTCTAACTGCCTTTATCTTACCATTGTATTATTTGTTTCTTTTCTTTTGCCTTTTGGGCTACTACATGAGTCTAAAGACAAATGTTTTATCCTGCCACTATATCCTAAAATATCTTATTCTGGATGTTCTGTAATTCTTGTAAACCCACACTTTCAAAACAGCCCAGCTTTTCATAATCCAACCCACTGGCCTAGTGCAGTCTCCTAGCGGGATTCATTATAGTCCATTTTTAGAGAAAAACACACATTAGCTGGTTAAAGAGAGCCATCATCTAGTACATATGTCACAGCACCATTATTCCTTCATATTAAAAATCTGAAACCCCACATTTATGATAGATCTTATCTCTTTCTGTCCAAAATTAAAGTCACCTTCAAAACAAAATCATTTTGATATTTTTCGCTGCAGCCTCCTTTGGAGCTTCTGTTTGTGGTGTTAAAACATGTCCACAAATTGTTTGATACTCTTCTCCTCAAGAGGTGGAGCTTAAGTCCCCTCCCCTTGAGTGTGGTATGGATTTAATAACTCTCTTCTGACAAATAGTATATGGTGGAAATGACAGGATATCATTTCTAAGACTAAGTCATGAAAGGTCTTACAGTTCCCCCTCTTCCTCTATTTTGGATCACTTGCTTTGGGAGAAGCCAGCTGATACATTGTGAGGACAGTCAAGCAGCTCTGTGGAGAGGTCTGTGTGGCAAGAAACTAAGGTCTCCTGACAACGGCCATGTGTGCAAACCACGTATGTAAACTGCAGATCCTCAAGTTCCAGTTAAACCCTCAGATGACTGTATCCCTGGCTAACATTTTGACTGCAACCTCAGGAGAGATCCTGAGCCAGAACTACCCAGCTAAGTGGCTCATGGATTTCTGACACACAAAAACACCTATGAGATGTCCCTGAGTTTTAAGTCCCTAAGTTTTGGGATACTTTGTTATGCAGGAATAGATAACTAATACACTGTTAACGTAGTGAAAGAAATCTGGTTAACAGTCATTAGTAATAGAAAGTAGTCATATTTGTGTTCAGATTGGCTGTATAATACATTTTTTTGGTCCACCTTTCTCTATCTTGGGAAGCTTAAAGCAACACCAAAAGAAAATTTATCTAAACCAATATTCTCTTAAGTTGTGTAAGTCACACACTATAGTATTTATTTTGATATTTGGTTACTATTTGGTAGACAATATATGATGTCTGTGGAGCAAAAGAGAAAACTAAAGTGTGTTGAATAGTTTAACAGAAGTAGCCCAGTATTTTCTGAAGTAGGCAAGAGTCTAAATTACAAGTTTTAAAAATCATTGAACAGGGAAATAGACTAGTTTATCAGTAGTTAAATCCCTCTCCTTGGGGCTGTTCTCCATATTCCTACCCCATTTTCCCCCCAGCTTTTAACATCCTATGACACTGGGGAAGCAATGTAGTAGAAAAAATTCAGACACTCTCATTCAATTTCCAATTCTGCCTCTTGCTGATTATGTGACCTTTGGCAAGTTATTTAACCTCTTTGTTTTACTTTCCTCATTTATAAAATGAGGACAGTAATCACTAAGTATATTTTGAGCGAATATTGAAGATTAAATGAGATTAATGAACGTCAAGTACCTAATGCAGTCCCAGTTCACAGTCAGCTCATTATAAATTTCAACCCTGCTCTTACCTCCAATTATAAAAATTAGATATATTTCAAAATACTTACAAAAAAGTTAAGAAAGAGACAATGAAAATACAAGATGTACCATTAGAGAAGTCATTTTAGAGTTAAATATTCACTATTTTGTCAAAGGTGCTCAACATCAGAGCAAAATACCTTTCTGCTGATCCTTAATTCTCCAAAATCTCCATGAGTTTTACAAAAATTGTAAACATACAAAATCCAAATCACGATACTGTCAAAAGTTTGAGCAGAGGACAAGGTCATCTCTCAGCCACCTCTATACTGGCCACATCTCAGAGGAGAGTGTACTGACAGCCCCCACACTTACTAATTGATCTAGCTGGACCTTCCTGGCACCTTTCTGCACTTCTCATAACAAATGAACACAGGTAGCTATTGTGCAACAGACCTTTAAATCATAAAACCGTTTAAAGAGTTTGCCTTTTACAAAACTGTCATAATTTTAATGAAACAGACTTTGCTAGCAATATTCTGGAAACGATTTTAAGGCAAACAAAAATCTCAACTTACTCTTCAGCAGGCAGGCCAATTAACAACAACTTGTCAGATTCTTTCCAATAAGCCACATGAATTTGTTTCCCATTTAAAAGAAGGGATGAGCTAAGAAAAAATAGAGTCAAATAAAATTAGAACATCTTTAAATGTCACAAAATTATAAACAATCGTTCATAAAAGATAACATATGGTATGATTTAAGAACTGCATGCTTAATAAGCAGATTTCTTGGCATATATCTAACTGCCACACAGAAAAAGCAAGGAATTGTATAACAACAAAAATATATTCTGAAATATTAAAAAAAAAAACATAAAAACTCTAGGTCAAACAAAAGTAAATTCTTTTGCTAACATTTAGTGACTATATACTATTTTTTTCAAAAGAAAGCTTCCATCACTGTGTGCTAATTTAACACACCTTTTCTGATTGTCTATTTATGAACACGATTTACCAAAAGAGATTACAAAGAAATGAAGATGTGGTCCCAGCTCACAAGATGATAATTCAATATGGGACACAGATACATAAACAAGTAACCAAAATATAAGTCAGATTTAAACGTGTTCTCAAGGAAACTTTTGGAGCGATGGATATATTCATTGTGGTGATGGTTTCAGGGTCTATACCTATGTCAAAACTGGTCAAATTGTACATTTTACATATGCACAGTTTATTGTACTTCAATTATACTTCAATCAAGTTGGAAAACAAATTAAATGTGTTCTAAAAAGAGATATAATAATGAACTATGGACATATAGAGAACATAATGATTCCTTCTGTAGTGTGGGTAGGTGGTGGGAAGAAGATAAAATAAAAATATCTTTAAACGAAAATACATACATCAGTCTTTATCTGTTGAGTCCTTAGGATATAGTGTACCTTCTATACCTATAGTAGGTAAGTATGTGGGATTTTAAATATGAATTGCTAAACAGATTTTTTTCAAAAGGGATATTACTTTTGCCTTAGTAAAGTTTAAAAATGCATATACTTTTAGAAAAGTATTAGACTCTTTTATTGTCATACATTAATATCACTGTAGTTTTAAGACAGTGCATACAATAAAAGATATACATGTTGCTAAGGAATCCTTGAAATAATAATTATTTTCATATTTATTGTTTCACAGAAAAGTTTTTCTATCTTTATTTATTATTTTCCACGTGTTTAACCCATATCTTATCATTAATAACAAGATCTAAATATCAAGTAAAATAACATCTATCCTCTACAGTTAAAAAAAAATCAAATCCACATGGAGAAACTTAAAGAAATTTTCTTTCTAATAATAGTAAAAAGGAGGCATACACCTTGAAAACATTATGCTAAATGAAAGAAGCCAGTCACAAATAACCATATTATGATTCTATTCATATAAAATATCCAGAATAGGAAAATCTATAGAGACAGAAAGTAGATTAGTGATTGCCTAGGGCTTGGAATGGGGTAGGTGGATTGACAGCTAAAAGGTACAGCGTTTCTTTTTGAGGTGATGAAAATGTTCTAAAATTGACTCTGGTGACACATATCTGCAAATAGACAACCACTGAATTGTACACTTTAAATAGGTGAATTGTATGATATATGAACTATATCTCAATAAAGCTGTTTAAAAAAATAAAAGGAGGCCTACAACATGATTTTCTGAATGCCAATTTATACACTAAATGGAGCCTAAGTTACTGGTGTCTTGAAAATGAACTAATATTTTCTGCATACACTATTAAAGTCCCAGAGTTAAACATGACTATTATTTAGAAAAACAAGGAAATTCTTCTTCCTGTTGTCTTGCAGATCCTATCTTTTAAAACCACAGAGGTGTCATTTTTACCAGAAGATAGGAAAAGTTAAAGTCTTAGAAAATACAACTTAATATTTTAAAATCTCTTAAAATTTGAGATAAACAAGATAAACTTTTTTTGTAAAGTCTAAAATTGTTGCACTATTAAGGAAGAAAAATGGTTTATAACCCCTAGACTTATTTTATGAAAAAAACAACAAAAACCCCAAAAAACAAAACCCAAAAGCTTTGAACCCTCTCCTTCCATAGTAAACTATGGCATTTCAAAGTCAGAGCTTGAAACATCAATGTGGAATGGGATATGTGGCTCTATAATTGACTATATGGTGTATTTTATCTTTCAAAAAATTCTTTGATGTCAGTCTTGCTTATCCATCACTGAGTGAACTTGCACAAATCATACTATAGTCTGAATACTCTTCCTAAAGTATATGTGTATTCTATATTTTTCTATCATTGTTGCAAGAACAGAATATTTTGAACTATATGAAAAATTCAGCGTTCAGTCATTCTTACCAACACAATGGTATTGCTTAGCAAGTGAATAATCAAGATTAAAACATGATAGGGCTGGCCCCGTGGCTTAGTGGTTAAGTGCGCACGCTCCGCTACTGGCAGCCCAGGTTCGGATCCTGGGCACACACCGACGCACCGCTTCTCCGGCCATGCTGAGGCAGCATCCCACATACAGCAACTAGAAGGATGTGCAACTATGACATACAACTATCTATTGGGGCTTTGGGGAAAAAAAGGAGGAGGACTGGCAATAGATGTTAGCTCAGAGCCGGTCTTCCTCAGCAAAAAGAGGAGGATTGGCATGGATGTTTGCTCAGGGCTGATCTTCCTCACAAAAAAAAAAACCAAAAACACAAACATGATAAAGCCCAGACTCACCATACTGCCATGCTTAAGAGATATGACCTTCAGGAAGAAATTCTAACGCATAGCTCATTAGTCCCACTTTGTTATTTAAAGTGTGCCAAAACACTCAGACCTACAGGTGTATTGAGAACCTTCACCTTAAACAGGTGACTGGTAGAAATAACTTAGGTGAGAAACAAAATATCTGCAGATCTCATATCTGCTGTACAGATATCTACATTATGGATACAAATATATTTGTATAATAGATACTTGTATTAGTATTTTGTTTGTCAGAACCAAGGTAAAGAACTTGAAAGAAACAGAATTAAAGACAAATAAAAATCAATTATTACCTAGTAACTTGTGTCCCAGTTACACTTTCCAACATGTCACAGAGTGTGAGAAATATCCCTCTCACACTTTTAAGTTTCTGAGATGCATCAGATACTGGATAATGATAAAGAATTTCCTGCTGTTAAATGAAAAAGAAATAGAAATGATCAAACCCCCCAAATTTTCCAACCATTATTTTGTAACGGAAAAGTCAGACTTTGTGTTAAGGAAAGAACAAAAAAATGAATCCTTTCAGCTTCAGTGAGAGTTTTATTCAAACACAAGGAGAGAAGCACGCCTGGAATTTTAACACATTACCTAGTATTTAAAATACCACATTTGAAAATAAGTTAGAGACTGTCAAAGTTGGTCATGATACCAAAATGTATCGTGAATAGGACACTGATTAGTTGGAATAATTACAATTAATTTCAAATAATGTTTTAAACTTTAATCTCCTTTACAATAAATCTAATACTAATATTATATTATATTATATTTCATTATACAGATTTTCTTATCTCCTGTGGTCACATATCTACATAGATAGTACATGTAATTTTTAGGAATCTTGAAACTTAATTATTTTCATTACTGACTTTTAAAAGATAATCTTCATCATCTTTGGTGAAATCATTAAGTCTTCATTTAAACCCAAGAAAAGATTGCAATTAAATTTACAAAGTGAGAATACAAAATTAAATTAGTGCAGGTAGGAAGAAAGTAGATTATGATATAATAAAACCTTATGTCTTAAATTTGAAAGGGTTTGCCCACCACAAATTAATATGAATTCAAACTTTACAAGAGAGCACATTTTAAATTATGGAAAATACTACATCTATAAGATAATTCACAAAATGCTTAATATTTTTCTATTTTTAAGAAGAGCATGTTCCCAGAAAACAAACAGTTTTTACAAAATAAAATAAATTTCAAAATCAGGATGTGCATTGTGCTAGAACTTTTACACAAAGGGATGAATCATTCTGCACCTCACTTTCTTGCTGTTACTTAAAGCAACATGCAATTTTTCTCACAAGGCAAATTAAAAGCAGGCAAAATAAAAATTTCTAGATAGAAACTACAGAGAATTCAGAGTAGCTTCCAGTTATGCTGCTTAATGACAATATCCATAAATACTAATATAGCCACTATTGAAAGCCCAAACTCCTAAAATATTACATCTTTTCCTTGGTTCTCTCTTTAAAAAGTGTTCTACACCTTGCTTTGGTCTCTCTTTACAAGAAATAATTATGTGACTTGGAGGTCGTGTCTTGGCAACTTTTACATTAAAACAAATATAAACAATGATTAAACTGGACACATCTGTTTTTATACTTATTAAGCACATTCAATATATGCAAATTGCTATGGAATATGTTGGCCAAATACACTCTGCCTAACAACTCAAATTTTCTTGCAATATTTCTAGTGTAAAAAGTTACAAAACATTTTATCTCTAGAAATTAAGTCAAACACCAGTTAAGATCTGTTACGTCTACTTAGTAAATTTAAACCTTGACTAGTACATAAACTTACTGTATTTAGACAAATACCAAACACTACTTGAAACAAATAACCACATACTCTGATTCGTTTTGTTAAATTTCCAAATCTTGTAACCTGAAGATGAGCTTTTATTAAATATGTAACTCACATGAAAGCAAAATGACCCTATGACATTTTACTGCAAAATAAGTCACACCAGTGAAAAAGGTCATTTGCGAAAGTTTCCATTCCAACTGCTACAGCAACCAGCCTGGAAAGCCTCACTATTGAAGACCTGGCAAGTTCTATTGTTCCTAACCAATTTAATTAGCTGTATTGAAAGCACTTATTAGCAGCATGCACTTGCATCAGCTTCTACTCCGGTCAATAAGAAAAAAAAGCCTCTCCTAATTACAATGTTGACACAGGGCTGTCAACAGGCAGAAACCTGTTCATTTGAGAAACATCTACACACTTTCCCATGGAAAGAAAGGCAAGGACGACAAAAGGCCTCAGCAGTATCCTACTCCAAGATGACCCAGAAAGATTCAGGGTGCTACCATCCCAGCAATTTGTTGTATGTTTTATACAACAAAAGGTTAAATTTCTCATTTGTTTTAAAGATATAAAGGACTACTAATACACGCAAGAAATTAGAATTATTAACTCAAGTCTCCATGTATTTTTCAAAACACAGAAAATTACAAAAATACGTATAAGTAAATTCCATTTCCATTTCAATTACTGACTAAATTTTGAAATAAGAAGAAGCAACACAAGGAAATACATTCCCTGGAAAAAATGGCTTTGGCATTGAGAATATAGGCTGCAAGGATTTCAAAAGCAAAGAAACGTAAATTAGGTAAAAACTTTTTAGATTTCACTTCTGCTTGAAGCATTATGGAAATCTAGATGCTTTAAGAGACCTCTGTGCTGTAAAACAGCTAGATCCATGGCCAAAACATATTTGTTGTTGAACTGCTGGATATGTAAGCAGTAGAGAGGTTTCCAAGGACATCCTCTCCATATACTTCCAACCCCCTTCCCCACCACAGCAAAACAAGCTGGGGCCTCAGCTGGGAGTGGTAAGAAGGACAGAGGCAGAGTTGTCCTGAGGGTTGATGCCTACAACAGCTTTAATCAGGCCACCAAGCATTGGGCTAGTGGCTAGGCAGGTGGGCTGAGCCTAGGACCATTGTGTTAAACCCAAACCCTTGAGTAAGGCTGAGGTGCTATAGGTCAGTGGCAGAAGCAGAAGCAAATTCTCTTCGGAGGAGGGCATTCCCACTTTAGAACCACAGGACTCCCAAAGAGAAAATCAAGCAGTAAGTTTAGTCAGTGATCCCCAAGGACATAAGAAGGCAAGCCATCACAAGTCAGAATCCGCTCAGGACTTAGAGAGAGTGGACTGGGCAGACAGAGAATAGAGAAGAGCTGTCTATGAAATGCTTAGAGAAGTCAAGTATGGAATTACTAAGATAAGCAAGCACCAAAAGACTACCAGGAACAGCATGGCAGATTAGAAAGCAGCAACAGAATGCAGATTAGTTAAAAACTTTTTGGGAACTTTTAAAAATGAAAATATGACTGTTTAAATAGAAAACACAATGGAGAGGTTAAAAAACAGTTTGGACATAGCAGAAGCAAGAAACTGAACAAAGGAAATGACTGACAGTAGATTTCTTAACAGCAATTATGGAAGTCAGAAGACAAAGAAATACTATCTTCAAACAGGGAGGAGAAACTAACTTTCTACCTAGTTGGCATAAGCAATACCATGTGTTGACTTCATCTTCTTCCTGGCCACACAGGAAGACAACATTTCTTAATTTCTTGCATTGAGAGAGACCACATAACTAATTCTAGGCACTGGATCCTGGGACGAGTGATGTATCTACTTTTAAGCCAGGCCTCTGAAATGTCTTATGTGATATGCATGCTTTCTCTCTTCTCTCATTAGCTAACTAGATGCAAAAGATCCAACAGAGGACTCTGAAGCCCTAGGGAATAATGGAACCACTAGATGAAGGTCTCGAATCACTGAGCCACATGAACAGAAACATTACTTAAAATGAGAAGTAAACTTTTATTATGTTAAGCCATTGAGACATTAGGGTTGTTTGTTATAGAGACTGGCCTATTCTGACTAATATGATGTAGAATTAAAGCTACCTTTCAAGAAAGGGTGAAGAAGACATCATCAGATAAATACAACAAAAAGAATTTATCACCACCAGACTTTCACTAAAAAGAAATGCCTAAAACACATGTTTTAGGAAGAAGAAAAATAATCAAATAAGGACAGTCTGAGATGTAAGAAAGAACAGCAAGTAAAGAAAATGGCAAGCATATCTGTAAATTTAAAGACGCTTCATCTGTATGAAATATAATGTATAAAATACAATAATAATTAGTAGTAGTAGTACTAGAAGTATAAGTATGCCCAACTTGTGGAGTTAAAAAAAACGATAGCACTAAAATATTGATGACAAGAGCATGGAGGTGAACAAGTGGATAAGTGGAGTTAAGGTGTACCAAAGACCTTGAATTATTTTGAAAAGGGATTAAGATAGTGTCCAATGTTAGAATTTGTTAAGACAAATATCATGATAAAATTTTAAGAGTAATCACTAAAAAAATAAAAATAGAGTACACAGCACAAATAATAATGAAACAAGCAACCAAAAATAGGCAAGAAAAATATCATGGAAAAAGCAGTTCAAAGAGGAATTTTTAAAGAAGATGGTAGAAAAAGATTCAAATTATTTCAGTAATCTCTATAAATGGACTCAGTGAGCTTGTCAATTAGAATATTGCTGAAAGAGACATACCAAAACCATAAACACACAGAATGACCGAGAAAAGCGCTTATTATTCACCTGGAAGACTATAAAGGTCCTTACTTTTTTCCTTTGCACTTTTGAGAAGACACTCACCTCTTCCTTTGATGTTTCCGAGTCGAGCTGTAGTGTGAGATACATAACGATATGAGGAGTGTTTAGGATATTCTGCTGGATACCTTCAACCTCTTCTCCCCATAGAAGTTTGACTAAATCACTTGTGTTCGACTGTGCCTTTTTCTGTCTTGGTTGAGTTGTTTCCTTTTTCACAGCATGTGCATTTTCAAATGTCAGTTTCACCTTTAAAAATTAAAACAATCTGTTGATTTTTCAACAAGGGAAAACCAGCTGCAGTTTTCACAAAGAAGGATCTGTACATGCACTCATGTACACTCAGCTACACACAATATGCATAAAAACCATCCTAGAGCGTGGATTCCTTGATGGCAGAGACTGTGTATTCTATTCATGCCTGTGTCTCCCACTTGTAGCCTAGTGTCTGGCAGATATTATTACAAATATTTATTGAGTAAGAATGTATAAATCTATGTACAAAAATTCATTTATTTAAACTTAATCATTGTATTCTAAGTATTGACAACAAAACCAAGAAATGCCACAGAAAACAAAAATCAGTATGATCTGATATTGTAATAAAGAGTAACACTACATTATGAATGCTGATAGCACTGACTCATCTGGGGAAAGCAAAAGGAGGAGATTGAGGATGAAAAGTGACCTCATACAACCAGAGTTAGCTCTCAAGTGAGGTGATACTCAAATATTCTTCGTTTAGACGTTCTTTGTGATCCTTTAAAATAAAGGCTAAGGAGAGTAAAAAACTATCAACGTGCCAGATCTTGGACCATGGCCCTAAGAAGATTATCATCAGGACAGTTTTAATTTCATGGCCTGATGTCAAGCTAGACTGGTAAGAGTCCAGAATGTGGACATTTTCCAGTTGTTGAAAGGTAGCTTCCACTTCTCAATTACCTGCCTTGAAAAAGGAGCTATGTGTCTAGATGCCAGTTGACCAAAGACAATTTTCTCGTTTCAAAGAAGCACCAGTGTGTATCTTGACTAAAAGAAGTTTTCACTAAATACAGTAATTTTGTGTAGCAAGAACATCATCATAAGATATATAGGCACAAAGTATTTGTAACGTTTAAATTCTTAGAATACAGATGAGTAAAATGGGACATTCTAACTGTAATTATCCATAAAATTTTTAATTTAAACATTAAAGTTCACTGTCTTTTTTAAAATTAAATTTTAAAAATAAAAAAATAAATTCATGCTTGATCAAGAATAAAGAAGTTTGGTCTATATATATAAATTAAATCATCACATTTTACATTTAAAAAAATCACATTGTACAACCTAAATATATACGATTTCTATTTGTCAATCATACCTCAATAAAGCTGGGGAAAAAGGAGTCTAGTCAATATTTAAAAGCAGATAAAGTTGTTTGTATGCAGTTAAGTTGCATTTGGGGGTGATATTTAAAAATTATTATCAAGACAGTAATAAACAATCCCTATTTTTAATAATTTATTACAAGAGGTACTATTTTCAATGCCAACTTTAAATATGTGATAAATACTAACACATTATAGTCACTCTTAAAAATGAGTTTTAGGGGCCAACCTGGTGGTGCAGTGGTTAAGTTTGTGTGCTCTGCTTCGGCGGCCCAGGGTTCACAGGTTCAGATCCCGGGGGTGGATCTATGAACCACTCATCAGGCCATGCTGTGGTGGCGTCCCATATGTAAAGTACAGGAAGATGGGCACAGATATTAGCTCAGGGCCAATCTTCCTCAGCAAAAAGAGGAAGATTGGCAACAGATGCTAGCTCATGGCCAATCTCCCTCACCAAAAAAAAAAAAAAAAATGAGCTTTATATATTTTTATCAAAAATGTTAAGCATATTATTTTTAAAAATTCATTTATAATCCCACCAGCCCATCCAACTGTTGTTAGTATTACACTGTAAAATAAATCTGTCCTGATGAATAAAACCTTTCAAAAGAAAAATATCTAGATATCCTTTTTTTTATTGGCAAGGAGTGACTATTTATGGTTGTATTCAATTTTACTTATCTCTAGCTGTCTGTGGCATTTCAGGGGCATTAAGCCATCTTTGTCTATATAAAATGAATTAAGTTAAATAAATATCTTTTTTAAAATAAGCCTCAGATTTTATTTTATTAACAAGTAGAAAAGAAAAGAGACGTGAGGTCTAAATTCATCAATATGTATATATTCAAAGTAAAGGTGAACTAGGTCACAAACAGCAGTAATCTGTAGAGAGAGTAGGAGAGGAAAAGTCCCTCACGAAACTTTCCTGAGGCCTGATGATCATGTTTCTTTACAAAACATTTAATATCATTCCAAATGGAAAAGATCAAACTTTACTAAATTTTTTAGGTTTTCTGTAAACCTGATGTTGAAAATGGGCCCTTGGTATTAGAACACTGTATCAAAAGAGACTGAGTATAAAATTAGTATATTTGGGGGGAAAAATATTAAGCAAACTAAACAAAAATATAAAAAATTAGAGCTCCTATATAGGAGCAATCAAGTTATCTGATGAAATTTAATATAAAGTTAAGGTGAGGAAGAGTTGAAGAGACACTGTTTTAGAAATGATCTTAGAAGGATGTGAAAAAGAGTATTTGGTGTAAGGTTTTGACCCAAACAAGCAACAAGTAAGCATTATATGGCCTGAAAGACTATGGTCTGAGGGTAGCATCTGTTCTAATGAGTAATGCTCAATACATGTATACATAAACATAAACATAAGCATAAACACACAAAATCCTTGAACAAGGATCTGATGAAGTGAATGGCTTGGTGGTCAGGGGGTGCTTTTATCTGAGAACGAGGATTTATGAGTGTCCAAAAGAAAACATATGGGAGCCTTTGGTGGTGTTCCTTGGAAATGGGAGAAATCTTTAGAATTTGGGGAAATCTGGAGGGCAGACTTTGTGACAGGATAGATGGGAGCTTTGAAGACTGTCCCCAGCACTGGGCTTTGGGGAGGAGCTGGGTATATGAGTGGAGCGGAGGGGGAGAAACCTGATTGTAGGGAGCATGAGATGAGTGATGTCAGAGGGAAGCAGGTCTCACAGAGACAGGCTGGGTCTGCTGGAGCGTCTGTGGGAGCTGCACACACCAGCGGTGAACAAGAAGAAAGATGGGTCCTCAGAGAAAGAAATGTGCCCCAGAACAGGGAGGGCATCTTTTCCAACTGAGATTCTTATGGGTGGAGAGTCAAAAGAAAGGGTGTGACTCACCAAAAATGACAAAAGGAAATGAGTTGGTAGACTTAAAATAAAAATTCACTAATTTTACTTTAGGCAGCAACAACAACCTGCAATTTAAGACTGGTTTCCTATGCTTAGTGAAAAACGACATACTAACTTTAATGTTATACTTGGCAAACAACAGCACTTCTGTTCTGTGGTGCAAGGACCTTCTCCTCTCACTACGACAAAAACTCAAACACACACACACACCACAGAACCATCCATTAAAATTCTTTAGGGAACTATTTTAGCTGCCATTCTTCTAATTTAAGTAAAGTTGGCTCCATCATGCAAAGATAATTACATTTTAGCAAGACATTTTGAAAAGTTTGTATGTTAAGTAGCTATAAATGTCAGAAAATCTGATAAAATGATAAAGGGTGAGACAGATAACCAAATTAAGAATTAAGTGCTATTTTTAAAAAGGGGTTGATACAAGTAAATATTAAGGATATTACATGTCCCATAGGAAAAAATTTTTATCGAGAAATATCTAATATAAGATAGTTTATAGAAAGCTTCTTATAAAAAGAGTTTTTTGTTTTTCCTCCATGGACATTAAACTGTGACAAGTTTCATCATCCCTCATCTCCTGTCTCCCTCAAAACATTTTCTTATTTGTACAATTTGCTCATCCTTTCCTCCTTCCTCCCAGTCCGGGAGATAATACGCCTCTCCTCAGGTCCAAGGACATGCATGCTCTCTATAACTCATCACTTTCAAAATCTTGTTGCTTTAATTATTCGCTCTCTCTACTTCTATCTTCACGCCATCCCATTACAAACAATGTCTCTCCAGCCTCTGCCAAACTAACAAATTCTCTCCCTCGCCTGTTAGTTACCATACCATCCTCTTTACACATGGGCCCTGGGGAGGTTGTCAGAATTTGAGGCAGCTCCAGAGGCTGACCATTCTCTCACCTCTACCTCCTGGTCTGTACTGTCTCTCTCACAACATCTTTTCTACTCTCTGCACACCTGATCCTTTCTCCTTTGGTTAGCAGACGCTTTGAACATTCCTTAGTCAAAACTCTGAAGGAATTGAGTCTGCTTGGCTCAGCAAATTCTCTCTCTTTGATCCTCTTCTGTTTTGGGCAATCTCGCTGAATTATTCAAGACAAAACCTGGAAGCCATCTTGGACTCCTCTCCTGCAGGAAGGACTGTCTTCTTCGCTTCCCACATAACTTAATTCTAATCTACTCCTTCTCCTCCATATCCACAGCCAATGCCTTTGTTCAGGCCTTTATCACCTCTCTTCTAGATTACTGTAAAGCTGACCACTTGGTTTCCCAACCTCCAGTCCCATTCAGAGTGTTATATTCCTAAAATGCAAATCTCATCACATCAGTCCTCCACTTTAAAATACTGACATGGATGGTTACTTCCGGGTTCTGAGAATCAAAAAGATTCACAAATACTTTTTAAAAATTTGGCAGTCTATTTCTTAATTTTGCCACAATATATATGAGCATCACTGTCATGTAGCAAGGAAACATAAAAGTTAAAACATTTCACTCAAGTATCATCTCCTTTAAGAAGCCTTTCTCTCTCTCTTAAGCCTAAAGAGTACTTGAGAGGTGAGAGTCCAAGACTAACGTTCTGCAGGCTGATCTCCTAGAAAAAGAGTTGGCTTCCTCCAAAGCTTCAGGAAAATTGGCTACGGCCCAGTGCTTAATGCAGTCAACCATAGTCAACCGCAAAGTTTAGACCCAAGCTCCCTCATCAAACCAGGGGAGGGGATGGTGAACCACCTGCACAATTACATGCTTGTTGAATAAATGAATGTATAGACCTGCGGCAACAGATCAAGGTCACAAAAATCAATAATTAGAAGAGTACTTGCACCTTTGTTCTTGTCATTTTAAATTTCTAAAACCTCTTTTTTTTAAACCTACAACTTTTTATTTTAAAAATTTTAAACCTACAGAGAAGTTGCAAGAACAGTACAATAATTACCCATATATTCCTCATCTAGTTTCACCAGTTGTTAACATTTTGCCACATTTCCTTCCTCCTTCTCCTCTCCCCTGTCTTATTCCCCTCTCCTTCCATCTTCACCTTCTTATGTATTTAAAAATTTTTTTGGCTGAACTACTTGAGAATTATTTGCAGACATTTTAATGCTTCATCGCTAAGTACTTCAGCATGTATCTCCTAAGGATACGGGCATCCTCCTACACAACCACAATATAATTACCATACTCAGCCATTTTAATATTAAATATAATACTATTATCTAACAAAGTCCATATCCAAATTTCCCCACTGTCCCAATATGGCTGTTCCCCACTGCAATCTAGGATCAATTAAAGATTAGCCAGTGTATTTAGTGGTATGTTACTCCATACTCCAGTGGTATGTTACTAAGTTACTAAGTCTGTCTTAGTCTAGAACAATTCTCCAGTCTTTTTTTCTTTCATGATATTAACATTTTCAAAGAATCTAAGATAACTGTTTTGCAGAATGTTAAAACCTAGCTTTGAAAGAAATGATTTGGGTTTTTTTTTTGTTTTTAACCTCATCTAGCATACAGGCTTCACCTCTGGATTTCATTCTGGTATTCTGAATTTATTTGTAACAGAACTTATTTAAAAATCAAACAGAGAACTGCAGAGTTGGAATTGGGTTTAGAGATTTATTCTCTCAAATCCCCTCAGATTATAGATGAGGAATCTGAAACCCAGAAGACTTTAGAAACTTGCTCAGAGTGCAGTTTAAAATGGAGATCAGACCTCCTTCTCCTCAGTGACCTTGCTACCACACTATACTCTCTCCTAGGCCATCTTCTGGTGGATGACAAGAAACTTTCAGACCGTTTTTATACTCTGAGTATAAGTTTAAAATGTTACTATTAGATATTTTCAAATTTAATGTTAAAAAGTCTCCTGTGAGAGGATGTAGACAAAAGCGAACCCTCATACAGTGTTGGTGGGAATGTACACCAGTACAGCCACTATGGGAAACAGTATGGAGATTTCTCAAAAAATTAAAAGTTGAAATACCATATATTCCACCTCTGGGTATTTATCCAAAGAACTTGAAATAAGCAATTCAAAGGGACTTAGGCATCCCTATATTCATTGCAGTATTATTCACAATAGCCAAGACATGGAAGCAACCCAAGTGCCCATCAACTCATGAATGGATAAAGAAGATGTGGTACATATACACAATGGAATACTACTCGGCCATAAAAAAAAGACAAAATCATCTCATTTGCAACAACATGGATGGAACTTGAGGGTATTATGTTAAGTGAGACAAGCCAGACAGAGAAACAGAAACACTGTATGATTTCACTCATATGTGGAAGATAAACAAATACATGGACAAAGAGAACAGATTAGTGGTTACCAGATGGGAAGGGGGTAAGGCGGTGGGCATAAGGGGTAAAGGGGCACATATATATGGTGACTGACAAATAGTAATGTACAACTGAAATTTCACAATGTTGTAAACTATTACGACACCAATAAAAAAAAGTCTCCTGTGGTATTCTTTATAAATGAGCATTCCTCTTCTCTTATTGCTTGAATGACTGTTTCAAATGCCACAGACACAGACCGGATAAAACGACTTTTTCTGGGACAAGTCCACCTCAGTTAGTTCTGGCCCAGCAAGAACAAAGATCCACCAAGGTTGTATGAGAAATGGGAGGATCACGCTCTGGGGTCAGTTTCAGTTCCAGTTCTTTGAGTTATTAATTCCGCATCCTTGGACAAATCATTAAATCTCTTACATTTTTTTTCCTTCATGTATAAAATAGGAATGCAAATTATTGGAGTCTAATGGATTGTTATGAATAATAAATGAAATTATTAAAGAAAATGAGATTAGCAAAGCACCGACATACTACCTGGTATGTGCAAACACTAGTTCTCTTCCCAATTCTACTGGTAATGAAAAGTTTACAGTTTATCCCACCTTTCAACACTAATGATGTAAGAAAAATGTGGTTTACTAATTAAACATGATTTCTAGTTAAAGGAATTGTAACTATTTTCTAAATTATTATTAAAGATACATTACCATCAATGCTGGTGCTTGTTTTTGAATGCGACACAGTTACAATATCAATTCTGACAGTAAAACAAACAAAAATAAACAAACAAATGCATACATGTTTATACCCAGGGGGGAAAACCATAAGGAAATATTCTACAATGTTAACAATAAATAATCTTCAGATGGTGAGGTCTTAAGAGATTTTGTCCCTTACTTTTTTGTATTTTCCAAAATTTCTAAAATGAACATGTATCACTTTCATAATAAGAAAAACAGTTTATTTCCTTAAATAATAAAAAGACTTTAATAATATATGTTTTATGAAGGGATGATATTCTCAAGTTGTATATAGTCCAAATCCTCTTGAAATTACTTCAGAAACGGAATGCCATGCTGGAGCACAACATATTCTCTCAATATGATAAATTCGACTCGTAACAGTCAGTTTTTCTTCCATCTTTACAACAAACTGCTGTTTCCTCAGTTTGGCAAAAGATGTAAGTATTGGCACTTAAAAGTCATGTTGTATAAAATATATATATATGTTTAAACACAGAACCATACTTAATGCAGCAAGATGCTCATGCTATAAAAGCAAACTGTACAAACAGCAGACACACAATTCTTACTTCAAGCTTAAAAAGGACATGCAAATAGTGAGTGAAATTGGTTCAAAATATTTAAATCATTACTTCTTTTCCTTCTTTTTTCCTGTGGAGTGTGCATAGCTGAATTTGCAAATGTTAACTAAACATAAGTATAATGTGACTCCACTGTAAAGGAAATTTTTCTTTTTTTGAAGGCAGAAGAGACGTGGTTGAACTCTTGGCAATATTGGCAGAACACCTGCAACTGACAGAGGCAAGAAAGGAGGAGCCCTCACTCAGGGCTGATGTGCAGCCAGTTTACTTGGGTGAACCTGCTTCAGTTGTTAAAATACTGTAGTTCTTCACTACTGATTGGTAAGTAGCTGCTGTCTGAGCCCCCTGAGGGGCCCCAGTACCTTGGTCCACCCTAGGACCTCCCTACGTCTAGCAACTAAAGGGGATAACGCACACTCTACTCCAGCACTATGCCTGGTGTCTGCCTCATTGTTAATATTTCCAGCACCACCCCATCTCCATCTCCATCTCTATTCATTCCCAGGCATTGCTGGTCACTGGCTACCGTAATTATTCTAGCACTTTCATTTGACATGTCCAAAGACAGCTAAATTTACAGAGCATCTGTGTATGTGTGTGTTTTAAGAGAAGATAGGGAGCCTAAGGGAAATCTTATTTCTTAGAAAACAAGGAATTTCATCATGGGTCCTATTATTTCAGAATCTCAAATCAGATGCAGGTAAGATTCTGATTTCTCAGGGATTCTGTTCTTATTCCTGATCAAGCCAAAAACTACTTCCTCCTCTCCCTGTCTGATGGAATTTCTAATCTTTCTAAAGCATATCATCCTCCCTATGCCCAAAAGAGACAAAGCTAATTCCTGATGCTAACAAGAGCAGAATATTCATAAATAGGAGGTACAGCACTTTCAAAATACACCTAATGACCTAAAAATGTCATCTCTGACATAAAATGTCAATGCTAAGAGTATCAAAATAACTTATTATGAAAGAGATTTATTTTTACCCACAAAGAATGAAAAATAATTCATGAAGTAGCTACACAAAAGCTCAGGAATAAGGCTAAACTAGATAACAGAAATATCAAGAAAACAGTATAATTAGTTTTTAAAATAAACAAAACCACTTTTAAAAAAAACTTTACAGCATTAATGATTTTAATAAGTCAGAGAATGAAAATTCCATGACTGTTTAAAATGACTTTTCTAGGAGCTGGATTTTCATCAGCACATATGGTAGTTACAATGGCAAGCTGGTCATTATATGTTTTTATTATTGTTCTTGTTCCTGCTTTACTTAGGATCAGTTTTATTTGTAGATACTTCTCTCTCTTTTTAGAACAATCTCCAAAAGTTAAAAATGCTAACAAGATCTAAAACTTTTTAAATACATTAAGTATAACTCACCCATTATATACAGTAATTTTCAGAATCTTAAAAAAAGAAAATAGTACAATTCATCATAAAACCCAGACAAAGAATATCCATACCTGCATAGGTCCAGGAATGCAAGACAGAACTCTCTCTATGTTCTCAGAGGTCACATCAACATCGTTCACAGCAACAAGGACATCACCTGAAAACAGAATAACAATAAAAGATAGCTGTGTGACTATCCAAAAACCAAAAAGATCTAGAATTGGAACATTAAAAAGCATCTATTCTAACCTCTTCACAGTACAATGGGAAAATGTGTTACAGACATTCAGGGACTTGTCCAAGGATAATTACAAAGCTTATTAGTGGCAGAGATAATCCCCCACTCTAGTCTTTCTTAAACCATAATACAGCCCAATATTGCACTACAATTAAATACAACCTATGAACATTTAAAGAGATGAATATTCTCATTTTTGATACAATTGGAGAATTATGTAAACCCAAAGAACAAATGAAAAATTTATAGCATAAACCAAGTATTGCACTTAACAAAATTCAATCTAATTACTTAGACCCACAGTAAAAAAAAATTTTGCTGTGATTTTCACTAAATCCATGTAGTGTATCATAACTCAGTATGCTGTGGTATTCACTGTTATTATTGATCTGTGTCTACACACAGCTCTTTGTTTCAAAGGTCCCACCATATCAAAATCTATGGCATTTTTCAATAAAAATCTCCTCCATGGCTTTTCTTTAAATGTGTATGTTTATCAAATTTGGTGTCTCTAATAAAATAAAGATCAGTGTTAAAATGAATTTACTTGTAAAACATAAAGGTAATATCAAGATACTAGTGAGCTATATTAATAGAAATATATACATACCAAGGTTATGTTTTTCTCATCATTCCTAAATATATCATTAGGAAATTGATCAAATAATTCACACTCATCTAGTCATTAATTCATCCAACAAATATTTGTTGAGCACCTACTGTGTGCCAGGCACTGTTCTAGGCACTGCAGATAGAGAAGTGAACAAAACAGACAAAAATCTCTACTCACATGGAGCTTAATATTCTTTGGAGAAGATGAATAATAAACATGTACATAGACAAAATGATGTTGGTAGACAATTCTCCATCGGTCTCTCATGTTTTTGTACATCTTGCAAGCCAAGGCACTGAAAGTCTTTGTTCTGGATTATCTTTTCAAGGTTGTTTGTAATAGTAAACAGCCTTAGACAACAGAGACAGTGTCTCCCTCCAGAGAAGTTTGTTTAATGTATAGTATAATAAGCATAGATCTCCCTCAATATCTTATTATGTACCTTATTATTAATAATTGTTCTTCATAAAAGATTCACGTTCCCTAAGCTCAAAGTTTCTCTCCTTTAATGCAACCCACTATGTGTTTATGTGTCACCTTACCCTCTTCATGTTGTCCTGCGGGAATGAGGGTTGAGGAACAGGTCAAAATGCTGTTACTTGAGCTAGTGCTATTCCTCTCTTCCCTCTCTCCCTTCCTTCCTTGCTCTCCTTGATATTCTTTCAGATGGAGAATGGGGGTTAAGTGGAGAGCAAGCAGGAGGAGCTTTTTAGGCCATCCCCACGAAGGTTTACAATGGCCAGCACTAGGTTTAGATGCTCAAGAGATGCTATTTAGTTGAGAATTCTGCAGGTGTGGCACCGAGTCATTATGATGGTCAACTATTGTAGCACTTTGAGCAGCCTGGTAACTTTCCTTAAAAGTAAGAACTTGCAAACCAAAACAAACTTCCAACTTCAGTTCAACTTGGAAAAAAAACAGCAACATATCCTGCTAATCCTTTTTAAATAAGAAATTAAGCAAGTGTACTTATTATTTATAGCTGTAGTGATTTTTAAAAAAAGGAAGAATGAACACAATATATGAGTATTAATGTAAAACAAAACCACTTCTGGACCATTCTATCTATCGGTTCTATTGTTGGTAGATTATGCTATCCTCAGGACACCTAAAGAGTCATGCGCCAAATAATGACATTTCAGTCAATGATGGACCCATGTATATGACAGTGGTCCCATAAGATTAGTACCATATAGCCTAAGTGTGGAGTAGGCTATACCATCTAGGTTTGTGTAAGTACCGTCTATGATGTTAGCACAGTGATGAAATCGCCTAATGACACATTTCTGTTAAATGACACACGACTGTACAGTTCTGTAGTTGAGTGTTAGAGGTACTATTACGTGAAAGCATCATGTCTAACAAACCTCTAAAAGTATGAGACCTGTATCATCATAAAAGATATGAAAATAATTTTTAGAGCAAGTGCAGTAGTATTCATAATATTTTTAAATGTTTAGTAGAAAATTTTCTCTTTCTATAAAAGTGTTATATCTACTTCTCATTCTCCCAGGTATTGTTCCTCACGTTTTTCTGAGCACCTCTGTGAAGTGACTCAGAGATGGCCAGCTTCCTGAACATCACATCACTGCAGTGGGCAGCCTGCACTCCAGGAAAGTTCTTTCTCGACAAGTACTTGGGAGTCATTAGTATGCACTGTCCCATTTCAAAGGCTGAAAGGAAACGAACTGCATAAACTGGTTTGAATTGTTAAATTAAGAAATGGTCTGAGGATTATTGATGGGTGGAAATAAAAGGAAAATTTTATCGAGAGATACATTCAAGAACCAAATAAAACAAAAGAGGTGAGATCAGTTTATCACAGTGCTTAAATCAATTCCTCAATGTAAAAAGTTCATTATTTGAGAAAACTCATCAATTTCTCAGCGTCTACTTAATATCAAACAACAAATGTATACTGAAGGGCTACTACATAAAGCACCAAGGGCTATGAAAATATATATGCAAAAGTCTGTTTACTGGTGTGCTTATACCATATACAAAATGAATATGCAGGTTATGAAACTACTTTTGAAACAAAATTATTACACATAAATGTAGGAAAAAAGAAAGGATACATAGCAAAATGTTACCTTTGGGCGTATGGGCTTTTTCTTTTTTTTGCCTTATTACATTTTCTAAACTGTCTACAATAAACATATATTATTAGTATCGCCAAGAGAAAACAAATTAAAACTCCTATTTTACCAAAACATCCCCCCCCCACACGCCCACTGTGGCTGGCAGAATAATTGTCCTCCAAAGATGTCCACATCCTAATCTCTGAAATCTGTGAATATGTTACGTGGCAAAAGGGACTCTGAAGATGTAATTAAGTTAAGGACTTTGAAATTGGAAGATTATCCAAGTGAGCCCAATGTAATCACAAGGGTCTTTATAGGAGGGAGGAAGAAGGGTCAGTCAGAGAGAGACTTGAAGATGCTACGCTGCTGGCTTTGAAGATTGAGGAAGGGACAAGGCAAGGAATGCAGGTGGCTTCTAGAAGCTGGCCAAGGAAAGGGATTTTCCCTGGGAGCCTCCATAAGGAATGCAGCCCCTTGGAAACTTTGATTTTAGTGCAGAAAGAAACATTTTAGACTTCTGACTTCCAGAACTACATGATGATAAATTTGTGTTGTTTTAAACATTTACATTTGTGGTAATTTGTCACAGCAGCAATAGAAAATGAATACACTCACCTAATAATACAAAGCAATCTTGGCTAAGCACCAAACCAGAGTCAAGGACCCGTGAAAGTTAAAGAACAGAGATGCATATACAAGGCACATTTGGAGGTCATTGGGGAAAAAATTAATCAGTCTTGTTAGCAGGGGGTATTTACACACGGAAGGACTGGGGCATATGTATGGAACAGTGGGGTGGGATCAGATTATGAATTTAAATTGATCATTTAAATTAAGTCCAATTTGACTTAAGGGGGGAGAGAATCTGGCTTTTGAAACATAGTTAACATTCTGCCATTTTATACATTCAAGCGAATGCATTGACTCTCAATGCATTTACTGATAAATTCCTAAGTTTTGAGAGAATGAATTTTATTGTATTTTTTTGAGCGTCAATATCAATCCCTCATCTATAATACAGAGGGTCCCTCCCAACATACCATTCTAGAAGTCCTTGAATAATGGTAGTTCATATATTATAACTATCATTCAGAACATTTGATTAAGTAAAATATCACATTCTCTGATGATGCTGGATAAGAAACTAGTGCAAGGTTTTTACTTCTCATTAAAATAGAAAATAATACTACAGAAATGTTGGAAAAATTACCTATGACCCCAACACTATAGCCATGATTATTTCTGCAAATAATTTTTAGTCTTCACCTATGTTCACACAAATCAGGTATCAAGGATTTCATCCTTTTAAATCTCTCAAATAACGAGAATTTTTATGCTGTTACATAATTTTTGGAACTATAATTTTAATAGTCAAGTAACATATAAATGTGTTAAATTATAATTTAAATAACCATACCCTTGTTTGACATTTTCATGCTTTTAATTTTTTATTATTACTAAAAAATGCTTTAACAAACATTTCCATGCACAGTTTTTCCTCCTTTTACATCTGGGGTCAGCAAACTTTTTCTGTAAAGGGTCAGATAAGTAAATATTTTAGACTCTGCGGGCCATGTGGTCTTTGTCACAACTATTCAACTCTGCCACTCTGGTTTGAAAGCAGCAATACACAATAAACGAATGTGGCTGTGTTCCAATAAAATTTTATTTATAGACACTGATATTTGAATTTCCTATAATTTTTGTATGTCATAAAATATTATTCTTTTGATTTTTTTTAACCACTGAAAAAGGTAAAAACCATTCTCTGTTTGCAGACTGTACAAACAGGAGTGTTAGGCCTGATTTGACCTGCTGGCTGTGGTATGCAGATCCGTTTTAGATTACTTCTTTAGGATAAATATCTCAAAATGGATTAACTGGGTTAAATGCTACACTGTTGTAGCTTAATACTTATCACCAAATTACATTTTGAAAGGATTAAATAATTTCTTTTGTTTTTGCTTCAAAGAGAAATCCTTTGGCATTTTCCCCCACCCATTCAAGTGAGCCACCTGGCAAGTGAAACAGTTCTCTGACTGGTAATCAGAACACACAGGTCCCAGCTTTATCACTCATTGGCTGTCTGTTGGGTAAATCATGTAATCCTTTTGGTGCTCATCTGTAGAAGGAAGTAACTGCATCAGAATCTCTCTAGAAAGGCCTAAAAACTCTAAAATTCTCTTTCCAATGAACTCATTGCCTCAGTTTCTTTTCTTTACTACTGGGTCAAGCACCGCAGCTAAAAATGTGGGAAAGAAATGATGTGAGAGAGGAGAGACAGACGAACACAGTAGTTACTTTCATTAAGAAAACAGAAATGCTACAAGTATTACAGAAGATGACAAAAATGTATACCAAATAACAACATGCAAAATATTAGAGAATGAAACCATACATTAGGTGTTCATAAAAACCAATCTATCTTTTTAAAAAAGCACTTCAAATATTTTAACTGGAAACAACCAAAATGTCCGTCAAAGTGAAATGGAAAAATAAATAGTATATATTCATACTTTGGAATTCTACATAGTGACAACATGGATATTTCTCCAAGATTATGACCTAAAGAAAAGAGACACGAGAGAATAAACGCCATATACTTCTATTTATAGGAAGTTCAAGAAGAGGCAAAATCAACTCTGTTGATAGAAAATTTGTGACTTTTAGAAGATTACCTCCAGGAGAGGGTATTGACTGAGAGGAGACACCACAAAGCCTTCTGGGTGCTAGAAATGTTCTATATCTTTACACGGGTGGTAGTTACACAGGTAGATACATATGTCAAAATTCAATGAATGTACACTTAAGATTTGTAGATGTCATACCTCAATTGAAAAGATTTTTAAAGGTAAACAAAAAAAACTTCAAAAAATTCAGAAGAGAAACTTAGCATGAGTGTGTACAAAACAAATCAATTCAGTGATCAGAGCTGAGAATATTAAAAGTTATACAAAAAGAGCTTGAAATAAAAACTGTTTTATTCTTCAGCATAAATGGTCCACAGGGATATGCATGACTAGAACATTAATGTGTGATTTCTCTAACCCCATCCTTTCCAATACTTAAAAAAAAAAAGTTAAAATGACCAAAGATGGGTTATCTTGAAAAAAAATCACCAAGGTGATATGCAGTTTCTAGGATGTAGATAAAAGGAGGACTTCCATTTGTTCTGGTCTGAGGATGGGGGCTGGCCACAGGTAGTCAGGGAGCTATCAGCTGACTGTCAAACTTTAAGAAAAAGTCAGAAATAGAAATATAAAAAATAAAGAAGCAAGTCCTTGGCAGCAGGAACAGCAAAAATGGCACTAAGAAAGGCAGCAAAACCCCCAAGACCCCAGCAAAGAAGAATCAGAATAGAATAGAGTTCTGCTGTCTTGAAAAGAAAGAAGGAAAAGCGTCACCAGTCTTACTGTGCCAGCCAAAGCACTTTAGTCAAAAAAAGGTCATTTTCCAGCTAAACAATGGCAGAAGTCACCCCTAGCAAACTGTGTTACCGGGACAGTTTCATGATCCTCTTGCCTATGGGGTTACCTCACAGTTCAACCAGACTGCGCCGTGAAATGCAACTATGAAAGAAACAAGTGATAAATTTCCATCACAGAAACACCTCATGGGATTAGCAAACCCACTATGACATTAAAATAGTCCATTCTTTACTCCCAAAGTATATAATTTAAAAAATACAGAAAACAATCATAAAACAAAAAATTTGAAAAAGTAGAGAAAACAATCACCTAAAACGACCCCACAGTAACCCGACACTATTAGCATTTTGCTGTATTTATATTTATTTCTGTTTTAAAAATTTATTTCTAATTGTTCTCCCTGTACATACTCTTTTTACATAGTTCATGCATTTATTCAATAAATGTTTTTTGAGGGCTTATTATGAGCCACGCATTTTGCTATGCACCAAGGATGAAATATCATTTTATTCTGACAAATCCTTTTTTTTTACTTCTTAGTAAATTATAAACTTTTTCATTATAAAATTGAAATCATGAGCCTGATTTTTCTAATTTTTATTGCTATTTAATACACATGCAGAAAAGTGCACAAATTGTAGGGGTCCAATATAATGAATTATCACAAAGTGAACAAATCCGTTACCACACTCAGGTCAAAAAATAGACTACTAGCATCTGGTGTATCTTTAAATTATTTTAAAGATAAACAGTAGGACAACCATGGTAGTCTCTTCCTCTCTGTTGTTTATTCTCTTTCCTCCCACACAGATGGCGCAAAAAGATCAGGCCTAGAGGTAACTGGTATTTCTAGAAGCTTCAGCAGACTGGAGTGAGGATCAGGGGAAAGGAAATATGGAATAGGAGGCTCACTGGCCATAATCACCTCTTCACTAGGTTTCAAGGGAAAAAGGTAAAAAGGACTTTAGAGATTTGTCTACGACCCAGTCCAAACAGGCATTTCGAGCACAGGACCCAGGTAAGTATAGAGATGAGGCATTAGTGGAGTTTCCTATCATTGGGATCCTAAAATTATGGTGGTCGGCAACAAGCAGGAAGGAATTCTGGCCTCCTAGACAGAACTAAAAGAACAAACCTTAGAGATATGTTAGTCCAATCCTGTCATTTTACAAAAAAGAATGTTGAGAACCTGAGAGAATGTAAGTATGCATTAGCTTCTGTTCCAGTTATCTGTTGCTCCATAACAAATCACCCAAACAACTCAGCAATTTAAAACAACAATCATTTATTATCTCTCCTATTCTGGGGTTGACTGGGCTCAGCTGAGGTTCTCACTCGGGGTCCCTCATGTAGTTGCAGCCAGATGGTGGTTGGGCTGGAGTTATCTGGAAGGCTTCTTCACTCACGTCTGGCGGCTGATGCTGCAGGGTGTCTGGGGCCACCTGCCAGAACACTACTCATGGCCTCTTCAGGTGGCCTGGCCTTCTCACAGAATGGCCACTGGGTTCAAAGAGTACCGAGGAAGAAGCTGCACCATCTTTTATGATCCCACCTCTTAAGTCACACAGTACCACTTAAGCTGTAGTCACAGCCCACCCAGATTCAAAGCAGGGGGGACGGGACACAAAGCCCGTAACTCCCTGGTAGGAGTATCGACATTACATTGTAAGAAGAGAATGTGGAGATCTTGTTGCAACCATTTGGAACACACACTTTGCACAGACGCTCTTCCTACTTGATTCCTCCTTGCAAACCCCTATCACGGCACTTATCACACTGTGTGAAACTGTCTGCCTATTTTTGACCCATCTCTTCCATCACACTACGAGCTCCTTAAGAGGACTAATAGGATTATTAGAGTAACCTTTGTATTCCTGGCACTTAGCAGATGCTCAAAAAATTATCTGTTGAATCAATGAACAAACAAATGAAATTTAGACTTATAGTAAGAAATATTTTTAAATGTTTCTAAAGTACCTATAAAAGTTCCTTTATCTAAATCTCTTAGGCTGTCAGCTTTTAGAATTAATAACTTTTTTTAAAATTTTTTTTTTTTTTGTGAGGAAGATCAGCCCTGAGCTAACATCCATGCCAATCCTCCTCTTTTTACTGAGGAAGACTGGCCCTGAGCTAACATCTATGCCCATCTTCCTCCACTTTATATGGGATGCCGCCACAGCATGGCTTGACAAGCGGTGCATCGGTGCGCACCCGGGATCTGAACCCGGGCTGCCAGCAGCGGAGCGTGTGCACCTAACTGCTACACCATGGGGCTGGCCCCAGAATTATTAATAACTTTTAAGTTTCATTAATAATATATGCTCACATCTAATTTATGTTTAACTAAGTAATAAGGTTGCTACTAACTCAAGCATTATATCCAACATAATGTATGATTAAAATGTATCAGCAAGACAAAATATGTATACTCAGAATAACTTGTGGATTTATTTTTTCCCTGAAAATTGGTAGGATATTTTATGACAAGCATCCTCAAAAGGAAATTTATGTATAACACCACTGTTGCTGAATATGCCAAATGAAAAGGTTTAAAACCACTCCAAGAACTTAGTGTACTCAAGTGCAAACATACAATTTAAAAGTATTTTTATTCATAAATTATATATTTTTGTATCATGTTATTGGGTATAGGTCATTCAAACCTAAATTATCACTGTATAATCAACTTATTTTCTTTTTCTTGTCAGCAAATATAACCAAGATGAAATAAAATTATAAAATTCAAAGCTCAAAAATTAGTTAAGCTATTACCTGGCCTAAACAAGGCACACACATATTCAATGCACTACAGTGCTTATTTTAAGAACACCGTGCCTCGCAGTACACCATCCTTAACAATTTCACTACTGTCCCGAATATCATCAAGAAGTCCTTAATCTGCTGAGACTCTGGATATAATTCTGCTTTGATCACCTCTCTGACACGGCATCATTGATCACGTATCTCCACAAACAAGGACTGATTTCACTAGCGACACTTACCAATTAATATCTGACCACTCTTCATGGCAGATCCTCCTGGCAGCAGGCCACGGACCACAAGCCTCTCTCCACTGCCCTGTTTTCCACTTCTCCAGCTCCACTTGGTCTGATGGATAATCCCAACCAGTACTTCCAAAAGCTTGAGCTGCTCTTTGGCTTTGGTGAGAGTTAGCTTTTTGGGGTTTACGTAAACATTCACGTCTTTGTACCGCTGTTGGACAACGACTCCTGTTTTCTGATTGGACTGATGCTTTAGAATGGACACCGGGCCACTGTTGTTGCTACTTTTTTTATTGTAGCGCTTAGGTAAAAGTTTTTTACTTTTTAAAATTTTGGTAAACCGCTTGAGTTTGGGTTCATATTTTTTTCCTTCTTTGTAATCATCCTCTTCAATAATAATCTCATTTTCACTGAACCTGACATGGTTCACAGTGGGTGTCTCAGGAAGGAGGCTCTCTTCTTCATCCTCACTCAATTCCAAATAAAACAGCTCTCCATTTTTCTGCACACTGTCCAGCCATTCAGGCTCCAGGTCACTATGAGAAAGAGAAAAGAGTCTGAACAGCAGCCAAACATAAGAAAAACAGTTATATCTTTCTGGCAGGGGGGTGAGCGTGGGGGATGGGGCGCAGGGAGGTGGGAGGAGAGTGAAAATTCTTTGATTATTTCAAATTCTCCTTACTATTTCTAACTTATTGTGAGCATCAACATTATTTCCTATAGGATGCTTTTTGTAGAGCTTTGAAGAACTGGAGTTGGAGGAAAGGGAATCAAAAAGGCATAGAGATAGAAAACAAATAAAAAAAGAGATGGCGCTCTTCTAAAATCTAAGGTGTTTTTTTTTTAATTTAATTTAGCTCCTGTGTGGTTATTGTTCACTTTAGACAATTTCACTGGACAATAGTTTACATTAGTAGTTAATTATGCAATTATATCCACAGACGTAAACCATTTGGAAACTATACATAAAAACACCTTATTTGCATAGAAATTATTCAACATGGCTGTCAAGTTAAAATGAAAGCTAAAGCCTACTAGCATTAATAGACTTTGTTTATACAATAAATTTTCAAGGAAACATTCACCTCGCCATGAACTAAAATCTTTGCTGAAAACAACCAGTTTGTATAATCACAGTTAATAATGACCACTTCCATAGCCTATAATTTCCATAAAACTTTTTATGAATAATTGTAGTAGGAAAAGTAAACCACGTATTACATAATTCATCATGTGATTGTAAAAAAAACTTTTAACTGGGAAGTAGGCCATTGAAAAAAACAAAATCATTGCTATTAAAATGATTGAAACAGCATTAGAAAACATTAAAAAAATACTCACTTTAAGGTAAGAAACGTAATCACAAGCTCTACTCTGTTCAATGTTATGAACAGTTTACCTTTCAAACTGCTATTCTTTAAAGCAAAACTGGTTACAGTGGAAAAACTAAAATGTGGAAAGAGTCTTCTCAGAAACATGAGCTGTAATATCCTGGCGTGAAAGGGTATAATTTGTGTTCTAATCGTTCAATCAGATAGAAGACATTTCTGTTTTCTGCAGTGTTCATTAGCAACTCTAGTTCTTTTAAAACTCAAATGTCTCTATCTAAATACTGTGAAAATTAATCCAAAAAATGCACTATTCTCTTACTCAACTCTGAAACTAACCAATGCTCTGGCCTGTGGTTGGTAATTAATACAGAACTTTCAACTATATATAAATGGTTTAAAAAAAAAGGCATGACTAGCCCCAAATATCAAAACCTGTTGGTTCCCAGTGTGTGGCATCATTTTAGCCGCTCAGCACCACTCACTGCAGGTCATTAATCATATATCAGTTGTTTTAACCACACCTGTCTGTACCCACACAAATCAGTATTCAATAATTCTGCACTTCTACTCTGATGAGAGAGTCTAAGTAACTGTGTTCCACTATAAGAAATTTAGATAATGTCAACCTTAAATAAAATAATTGACAAATTATAAAAGCAAAATTAAATTTATTTGGGAATCGCAGAGGAATTGCAATTCAGGACAAGAAAGCTATGGTGAATTATAGGCAAGTTGGAGGAGACAAAGGGAAGGTCAGCTTTTATTAGGTTTTAGGAGGAAACTGGGGAGGGTTGTCTTGAACAAAAGTTTATTGGAGAAGAACAAGAGTGTGAGGTTGTGGTGATTTCTCATTGGCTGCAAGAGGTGGTTAGTGCGTTGTCGCTGGCCAGGGAGCGATCTTCCTTCTTTTATTTAGAAGCAGGAGATGAAGTTCTCAAGTGAAAAATGTCCTCTCTTGTCAAAATAATTCTTTTTTTTTTTTTAAAGATTTTATTTATTTTATTTTTCCCCCCAAAGCCCCAGTAGATAGTTGTATGTCATAGCTGCACATCCTTCTAGTTGCTGTATGTGGGACTCGGCCTCAGGATGGACGGAGAAGTGGTGCCTCGATGCGCACCCGGGATCCGAACCCGGGCCACCAGCATCGCAGCGCGCACACTTAACCACCAAGCCACAGGGCCGGCCCCTAAAGATTTTATTTATTTATTTTTCCCCCAAAGCCCCAGTACATAGTTGTCGGTCATAGCTGCACATCCTTCTAGTTGCTGTATGTGGGACGCGGCCCCAGCATGGCCGGAGGAGCGGTGCCTCGGTGCGCACCCGGGATCCGAACCCGGGCCGCCGGCAGCGAAGTGCACGCACTTAACCGCTAAGCCACGGGGCCGGCCCTTAAAATAATTCTTATCTTCCTCCTTTCTGCTGGTTATGCAGGCTGCAACAAGTGGTACTTGATGAGCATTCTCCCTTCAGGGCTTCCCGACTCCATTTTAAGTGAGGTTTCCTTTATTTATTTTCACAATAACAATGTATCATAATTTAAAATGGCACAATGTAAATGCCATGATTATATACAATCACTTATGAAGATCTATATCAAATAATGAATGAAATTTATGTGCTTTATAATTTCACCCTTTTAATCTGGTATGTTATTTGTATTAGAGATATGTGACCCCAAAGAAACATTTTTCCCCTCTGCTAAACATAAAGATGGTTCATCTTATGCTCTAAAATTTGAATGTGAAACCACTTTTTGGTTATGATTTAAAGATCCAAGAAGGTGGGGGGCCGCAGGAGGTGACAGTCAATCCTGGAGCAAACAGTGCCAGGCACTGTGGTAAGTGCATCAGTTCCATCCCTTGTCTAATGGGGTAGAGACAGTGAGAAAGAATTCATGACAACACACATGGTAGGTACTAAAGAGAGGTCATCTTAGCCTGGGGTTGAGGGTGAGGTCAAGGGAGACTTTCTGGTAGAGGAGACTCCAGAAGTGAGTTTTAAAAGAATAAGTGACCGGGGAGGGGGCCTGGGGAGCTGAGGGGGAAGAAGGGAAGAGAATTCCACACAGAAGTAACAGCATAAACAAAGGTTTGATGGATAGTTTCCATGGTCTACGTGGACAACTAAAGCTAGTGCGCAGTTGTCAGAGCATAATTCGTGAGCTGGGGGGATGACAGGAGAAGTAGTCAAGTCCTAATCTTGCAAGGTCTTCTGGACCATAGCTAAGGGTTTGGATTTTGTAGTGTAGGTAAGAGGGCATCAATAAGAGTTTAAGGTAGAGGATTTACATGTCAGACATCCTTGGATAGAACTATTTTGACAAGAAAATGCAAGAAGAATTTGAGGTAGACAGGACTCAAGACAAGGGGCCAGTTAGTGGGCTGTTCCAGTAGTCCAGGCAAAGATGATAAGTAAGGCAATGGTAGGAGAAATGGAAAGTAGGAAAAACGTTTGAGAAAAGCTTGAAAATCACCAGGACATTGAGATTGATTAGATGAGATGATGAGAGAGAGGAAGGAATTAATGTTGACTAGATTTCTAGTTGGTGACTGTACTTTCATGCATCCTTTTATGTATACATATGTACAGACTCATTTTACATAAATGGGAACATCATTATCGTACATGTCATCTTCCTTTCCTACCTTTCACTGATATAAATGATGTTAAAAATCTATGTTCTTATAATCATATAAAAACACATATAGGGTTATTTTGTCATTGTTTGTTTTGAAAAAGTACAGTATATATACATATACTTATCTTTAGCATTTATCACTTAACAATACAATTTAGAAACCCCTAAAGGCTCCATTAATGGTCCATATCAGGGATGTTGTTCATTTGGTCATTCATCTACTGAAGTTCACTTTTTTTTTGCCCCTATAGACAACAATACAGTAACCATCCTTATATGTATGTGTATATATGAGCCTTTACCCAAAAGACTCTACCAATTCACATTTCTACCAGCATGAATGAGATCTATTTTCTTAATGTCTAGATTTAAGAAATACCCCACTTTAAGAGAAAGAAGAATTTGAAAAAAAAAAAAAAAAAGAAGAAATTAAAAGAAAGGAGATAAGAGAGACAGGAATAAAGACAGGGAAATGAACATAAGAGACTCTGCAAAAAAAGGCAACAGGTACAGAGAAAAGAAAATGAACTAAGAAGTCAAAAAGACTTCGGTTCAAATTCTGTTCTACTGAGATTTTTACCTTTATAAGCTTCAGTTTTCCTCTTCTAGGAAACAGATTATAGCTACTTCACAGGGCTGTTATCAAAAGCAATAAAATAATGTGCCTGGCATGGTAAGTGCCAAATAAATGTCAGTTCCCTTCCTCCTGCCCGACAGAGTCAAAACTGTAGAGAAACTTACACATTTATTAGATACAGCTCTTGTACTTCTGTACTTTTCCAACCCCTGGCAATAAATGAAGATGTCTCCAATGACCTCTATTCGCTAGGTTCCAGGCTAAGCACTGGTGACATAGGAAGCAAAACCAGACGCTGCCTTTAAGCCCCCACAGTTCAGTATTCCCAGATGGTTCCTTATTCTTACTCCAGTGATTAATTCCTATTTAGCTAAGCATCAAGAGAATAGTTGTTTAATGCATTAGAAAGTTTAACAGAGTTATAAAGACTGTACTCTCAAACTAGTTCTACTAGAAGGAAGGGGGGTGTACTAAAAACAACAACAAAACAAAAAAACCCAACCTTTCATTACAATTATTCATTAATAACAAAATTAAAGAAATTAATATTATATGTAGATACTCCTCACTCCAGGAGATGTAGCTTAATCTTCCCTCCCCTTGAGTGTGGACTGGACTTAGTGACATTCTTCCAAAGAACAGAGTACAGAAAGTGAAAAATAGTAACTTCACAGTGACGACACCTGGCAGAATTACCTTAACCAAGTGATCGAGGTTATGAAAAATAAGAAAGCACTGAGAAATGTCACAGACCAGAGGAGACTAAGGGGACCTGATGACTAAACGCAATATGATATCCTGGATTGGATCCTGGAACAGAAAAAGGATATAAGTAAAGGAATGGCGTAATCCGAGTAAAATCTGGAGTTTAGCGAATAGTACTGTACCGATGTTAATTTCTTAGTTCTGATGAATGCACTGCAGTTGAGCAAGATGTTAACATCAGGGGAAATTGGGTGAAGGATACATGGGAACTCTGTGTACTATCTT